TGTTTTATTTTAATTAATTTAAAAAAAAAAAATTTTATTTGAAATATTAAAATTTTAAAAACTAATTAAAATAATTAATCATATCGCAATTAATTTAGTTAATTGTTAATTTGCTTAAATTTACATTAGGTTAATTTTGTTTTCCACAAAATACATTTTAATTTAACAGCAGCATTATGATTACAATTTAATTTAAATCATTTTGCTGTATATATTTTAAATTACAATTTGTTAGCATAATCTTTTTTTTTTTTTGTTGTTGTTTAAATTTGTCAGTTTAATTTTTTTATTTTTATTTTCTAATAAAAATAAGATAAATTGAATTAAATAAATAAACAAATAAATAAGTGCATAAATTAATGGATAGATAAATAAATAAATCAATAAATAAACAGATAAATTAATGAACAAATAAATAGATAAGTAAATAAATACATAAAATAAATAAATAAATTTGTTAGCTTTATCTTTTTTTTTTTTTGTTGTTGTTTAAATTTGTCAGTTTAATTTTTTTATTTTTATTTTCTAACAAAAATAAAATAAATTGAATAAAATAAATAAACAAATAAATAAGTGCATAAATTAATGGATAGATAAATAAATAAACAGATAAATAAATGAACAAATAAATAGATAAGTAAATAAATACATAAAATAATTAAATAATTATAATACTTCTACAAAAATCTCGAGATAAGGCGGGAATAACGCGGAATATTTGTAGGTTTGAGTAATGCATTAACAGTATTATCAATTGGTTTATATGGTACCAATTTAATGCTATGCTTTACATCTTTATCATCGATGAAAAAGAAAGATATAAATGCTGTAAGTAAATGTTGTTAATTTTATTTTTAATAATAATATATATTTTTGCAAATTTTTTTCAAAAAAAGAGAAAAAAAAATTCCAAAATTTTTGATTTAAAAAAAAAAAAAAAAGAAAGAAAACGAATTCAAAAATAAATAAATATTTCTAAACTTTAAAGATATAAGTACAAAGAATTCAGATCAAAAAAAAAAATAAATTTTCCTAATAGTGCATTTATTGATCTTTTATTATAAATTATTTTAGGTATATTACTTCTCGATTGGTGTTCACATAACAGCAACTGGATCAGCTCTTATCGCCTATAAGGTTTTTTAATTTGTTTATTTGCTAACCTGTTTATTTGTTTTTTTTTTTTTGTCTACCTGTTTGTTTGTTTTGGTTTTGTCTGCTTGCTTATTTGTTTACCTGTTTATTTGTTTATTTCTATTCATTTTGTTGCCATAAAACATAATCTAGAAGACATAATTATTCTTTAGATATATACATATATATATTTTATAGTTTGTAATTACATTAATGAGCTATCAAAATTGTTTATTTGTTATGTGCAAATAATATTTTAGTAGTTATCAATTAAAATTTTAATTTTTATAGATTTAATTTTTTTAAGATTCATCGTTGCGCTGGCCTACTAATGGTACCATACGTATTATAGACTGGTTTTCCTACGTTTATATTGCATACGATGAAAAGTTTGAATTCAGAAATTTAAAATTAATAGTAACACTTATGCCATTCATTTTGTTTTATATTATTATCACTGTTAATTAATTTTAATCTAAATTATAGGTTTCAATCAAATTTTTTGGTTAATTTATATCAATAATTGAAATTCTAATAATTGTAAATTTGAATCGTTTATTTTTTGAAATTTCTAACCACTGTAAGTTTTATATGCTATCATATGTTTATGCTTTTGCAAACAAAATAAAAATAAAAATAAAATAAAAGTAAAAAAAAAAAAAGTAAAAATTTACAAATAAAACACTTGGATTATTTGATCAAAAATTCAATACAATCAGTCAGATATTTAAAAATAAAAATTAAAAAAAAAATTAAAAGGAATGCACTCACTCATTAGTTCCCCAACTAATTTTATAATATTTTTTGGAAAAAAAAATTCTTTAAAATATGACATTAGTTTTATTTATAGATAAAATTTTGATTTTTTTTCTTGTTTTTTAAAATTAATTTTAGATTATGTGAAACTTCTTTTTTTTTTTCTGAATTCTTTTTAATATTGCATTTCTGTCGTCTTTTGTTTTTTGTTTTTGTTTTTGTTTTTTGTTTTATTTTTAAAGTTAAGATGAATTGAATTATTCCATAATTTTCTTCTATCTCAGAAATGTATACACATTATGGTACATTTTTCTACTGTTTTTTTTCTCCTCCTTCTTCATATTGCTGAAACGATTAAAAATTGAAAATTATTTACAGTGAAAAGTTGAAAAATTATTTGAAACAAAATTTATTATTTATTACTTATGTAAAATATTTATATTTGTTTCAGTTTTTGTACACTTTTTCTTCACCATCAATCCTTATTATATTGCTTTCATTTTTTTTTTTTTTTTTTAATTTATTCCAATTAAATTCTTCTTCAAACTAAATTGATTTTCATTTTAATACTTTTTCAAAAAAAAACGAAAAAAAACGAAAAATCGATAAGTGAAAGATAACAATGATCTAACGATATAATAATAATAGCATAATAGTAATAACAATAATAATAGTAAACAAATAAATAAATAACAACAATAATAATATAATTGTTAATTTAATAAATTACAGATTTCGTGTAAAATGTTTAGACTCGGAAGTAATTTGGACAACAAATGATACGAAATATATTCTACAGTCTGTTCATTAATATCATCTGCCATATCATTAAATTCATTCTTATCTACTTCAAATAACGAAAACTTAACAAAAAATTGAAAAGTAAATGATAAAATTATTATTTTGAATCAATAAAATTAAAAATTTTCCTTTTTAATTTACAGTGATGAAATGAATTAAACGATTTTTTATCAAAAAAAAGATTGGTTTGAACATAAAATCTAAAAAATATCAATTCAATAAATTCAAAAATCAAATTATTTTAAATTTCAAAAATTTTCATGTAAATGTTTAATCGTTTGGTAAAAAACAAAAAACGAATGAAAATTGAAATTTAGATAATATCATTACCATTATGGGCACCAAAACATTCATTTCTGGATATTTTAACCTCTTGGTAATGCTTCTTAAAAGCAAATAACTACGAAAATAATATCAACAAATTCATTATTGCAGCGATTCAATTTGTTAACAAATTCTTTTTTTTTTTGGAAAATTTCAAGTAAAAAAAAAAGTTAAGAATAAGACTTTAATAATTTTAATCGATTAAAGTTTATCTAATTGGTAGACAAGAAATTTGTCAACTAGTCACGTAATTATAAGGAAAAAAAAACTTACTATAATGCTATAAAACGTGTTATAAAAAACAAACAACAGTTCCGGTTAATCAGTTATTTTCATTAGTCATCCGGTAGAGTATGGCACTTCTTTCAGATTGATAACAAAACTTATGAACCACACGTTTTGTGGATTGGATATTAAATATTACTTGCATATGTAATGAAATAACAACGACGAAACATGAATGATAAGAACTAAAGTGATATCATATCTTTCAAATACTGCACTTCATTTTTCTTTCTATGTAACAATTATTGAAATTTAATTTACAAAGGAGATTTCCAAAAATTTTGCGAACTCCTAATAAAACAAATCATTTAAACGTAAATTTTGTTTTTTGAACATTTTGTCTTCGATACCGGATGTAAATATTTTAATGTATTAACACTCTTTCAACTAAAATTATGAGAATTATCAAATGTTAATCCAAAGATACCGTCCATGTAACCAGCAATCGATTCAAAAAACCACACAACACAACAAAAATCGACTGAGTCAAGTAAAACTAAACAACCTGTTTCTGCGGGAGAATGTAGTTTGCAGATCGACTCCGTTAAAATATTCCTACGTCACGTGCTCGCTCAATAACCGCCAAAAATTTATCGTGGTACATGGCCACGCGCTAGGGTCGTAGCGAAATTCTCTTTCCCATTTATGTGGAATTAATTAAAAAAGTGATTCTGGTAATAGCTTTTAGACAAAGATTAGACAAAGGCTCTTGTTTACTAACTTGCTCACATATAGCTTTTGTCTTCCTCTTGTCTACTAACTGTAGTATTGCTTACATAGTCACTAATATATTTGTTATGGGCGCTATTGTTGCTCCTTTTTTTCATTAGTTTATCATTTTTCTTAATCTTTTTTATCTCGTTACTTCATTTTAATTTTCTGTGTTATTTTATCTTTTAACCAACAGTTACCTCAAAATTAGTAATATTAAATAATTTTTAGTGATAATATTAATTAATTCATTTATTATATATATAGTAATGATTATTGCCATATACACTTCCAACTTTCACGCTTTCTATTATGGCTAACATAAATCTAGATGTGGAAATTTGAAAACATGCTATTTGCGTGCAGTTTTCACGCATATCTATTTCCATTTATGTTTTAAGTGAAAAGTATTTGCGCCATATACGAGAATCATATTCTTACCTTAGTAAGATTGATAATTTGGAATTTTATAGGAAATTTGTTGATGCAAAGAGGGTGATATGAGACCAAAGAATAAAATTTAAAAAGAGGGGAGGAGGAGGAGGAACAGAGAGAGAGGATAGCGGATGAAAGAAAAAGAGAAATAGTGAGATAAAAAATGGAAGATTAATGATGCAAATATTTTGAGAAGCTGGGAAGAAAATAAAAGTGCCAATTGTAGGAGGTAAAATAGTATTCCAATAATCAGATAATCGACGAAATAATTGATTTTATTTGCTGAAACGAACACACCACTTTTTGTCGATGATCACTGGAATGCAAGTAGATTTTTCATATAATTCCAGTGATTTATTGCTGAAAAATATCTATTTTATACTGTATTAAAAACAGATCTTAGGCTGTAAAATGTTCCCTTCCTGAAATTTTTCATGCATAAGGTTGATTATATTTGCTGAAGTGTATTTATTCGCTTAATTAGTTCTTATATTGTTCATTTGTTTGCTCATCATATTTTAATGTTTATTGAAGTAAATATTGTTTGATTGAAAATGAGACGCTTCGGGATCGAGCCAATATGGACATCGGAAGATACGAGGAATGCTATCCTGGCTAGCCTGATACCTGGTGCCACTGCTTTTACAGCATTTGCTGTATTTGCAAATGATCGCAACGTTGTAGATTGGTGGACAGTAAGTATCGCATGTATTTTGTTTTTCCGGTTTATATTTTTCCGGTGTTTGTTTAACAAATCATTTCCATTAGATATTTGATATTTTTTGTATTTTTTGTTTCGTTTTGCTCTTGTTTCAGTGAACTTACTTATGTTTTGATTTTTGGTCACTGTTGCAGTAAGTAATATACTTCGTCATTAAAATGATTTTTAGCATGCAAAGAAGCCAAACTGGGCTCCAAAGGATCCAGTGGTATATTCTCTTTTTGATATTGTGACACTTAGCCCGTTGGGATATGCATCCTATCTTGTTTACAAGAACGGAGGTGGTAAGTGTACCATAGATCCTTATGTTTTAATTTCTTATGATTCGCTACTTATTAGGAAGCGTTATTCTCTTTTTTTTTTTTCTGGCTAAGTCTTGAAACGAAGTAACTTTTGCAATAGCGAAAATTATGATAAAAAAGTTTTTTGGTTATCTAAAATTTAAATCAAAAGTTTTTTGCTTACCTCTTATCTTAGTACATTTTTGGTCATTTTATATTAGTACATTCTTGGTCATTTTATTTCTTGTTCGATATTTTTTTACATAGGCGTAAAATGTTGTAAACAATTTCAAACGCAATAGAGAAAAAGATGACAGTATGAGTATTGATTCTATTGTTATTGCAAATTCTTATAGGTTTGCATTACACCGATACGAAGGTAGCTCTTGGATTATATGGGTTAAACACGATCTTTGCTCTCACAACAATTCCTTTAATCAAGAAGAGGAATTTTACTTCCGTAAGTGATTTGTACTTTAGAGCTTCTTAGCTCCTTAAATGCTTCTCAGTTGTTCCTTAAAGGATGAGCCCCATTTTTGTTCCTTTTTTTCTAAAGTTAGAGCTGATTTTAGATTAATTTTTCTTTGGTGCAGTTAAATTTAATCTTTCGTTTAGTTGTTTCGAAACACTGTGCTTTTGAATGCAACAGCAATTGGTGCAGCATTCGCATTTTACAAGGTTCATTTTTGGTTGCTTTGTTTACTTATTTCGAAATCGTTGATTAGTTATCAACTTTGATTTTTCAGTTTTACTTCATGTTTACTTGCAGATAATTTATGCACTTTTCTAATTGTTCGGCAATTGTCAATGCTCATCATTAACTTTCTATTTTACTTAAATTTCAGATCGACAAAACAGCTGGTCAACTTTTGCTCCCATACGCTATTTGGACTGGATTTTATGCTCTTCTTACTTATTCGATGAGTAAGGAGAATGTATCAGAACATTAACTTTGCTTAAACATAGGTAAAATGTTAAATTATTCCCAGCAACAATTCTTAATTTAAAAAAGTAATAAAGCTTACATTTTCATTTTCTAAAATAAACTATACTTGTTCTTTCTACTGCAGTTCTTTTCTACAATCTTTAGAGAAGTTTTTGATGAAAGATTTCTATACTGTATTTTTTTTTTCTTTGGTCTCCATTTTTTTTGGTCTTTTATTAGTAGCTTCATCTTGTGATTTCTCATAGTGCAATATGTTGCGAGATGAGGCGCTTCCGAGTCATCTTGTGTTTTTGCTTCACGTCATTTGCTTTCTCTTACTATAATTTGTTTAAAGTAGTCATATTGTATAGAACTTCTGAAACATATGTATCACCATCATGAAATATTATTCAACTGTTATTGATGAAAATAATTGTATTTCAGATTCGGTTTCCTCTGTGCGTCAAAAAAATCGAAATTATAGTGGTACGAAATTGAGTTCTTTTAATCGTTTGTTAGTATTGTCGGTGGTCGAGAATGCTGTGGAATATTCTAGATCAGTTCTAGAATAATTATAATTATGGTTTATCAATGAGTAATTACGTGAAATAGTTATTCGGAAATTTAAGATAATCCATGCTTTGGAAATCTTTTAAATAATAAAAATAAATGGATATTTTTTTTACGGCATTGAAATTTGTCATCTTTGTCTGATTCCAGTCTTTATTCATTCATTATTTTTATACTACTACTTGCACTGTTTACTGCTTTATTATTTGGAAGATGTTAGATACCATTGCTATTATTAATTAGTTAATATTGATTAAAATGTTGTAAATTTGGTAAAATCATATGCTTTTTTTCATCTGATATTCATTGATAAAGTTTGTAGTCCTAACTTTTTTCTTCAAGAAAACGAATGATGATGTCCAGTGTATCTTACTACCTTTATTTCTACTTTTTTTTTGATGACTCAGTCTGTATATAATGATTATAGTTTTAATGAAGATAATTCTTCGCCATAACGACTGAAGAATATATGTGGTGGACAAATAGCTTGAAATATTTTTAAATGAAATCTCCTAATATTAAGTTAATTCTTTTAATGAACATACAAGAATTAAGTTAAAATTAACAACTACCGCATCGACTGTTGTGCAGAATTGCAGTGTCACGATGAAGTTTCTTAGTGTCTGTTTTGTTACAGAGCTGATTTCTTTACCAGGTGAAGCGTTTTATGACATGATATGTTAGTGGAGTTTATTCAGATGCTGATACAAAGTCAGTTCATTTTTTACAGAGATCAATTTCGATACCGAAAGTGTTTATTGCGTGGATTGCTGGATTCAGGATGGGTTTCGATGGACCAAATAAGGGGAGTGTAGTTTATAGAAAGGTATTTATATGCTTAAGTTTTAACATGCATAAGATAAACACTTCTTTTTTTATCTCAACTTAAAATATGAGAAGCCATCAATTTGGTTTTTTCAAATACAAAATTTAAGTTGTTCAATTAAAATCTATTTGCATTTCTGTTACAATGGTTATACAAATATGACAGGAAATTGTTATTTTTTTATAGAAATGTTACCTATGTCGTTTTATAGGCTGATCTTGACGATACAGAAAATGAAGATGTTTGGGATGATAGTGCACTGATTAAAATGTATGATGAAATGATCAACCGAACTTATGTTAGTTTTCAGTCTTTTTTTTTTTCTTAAATTTTTTGTGGTACTCATACACTTGATTTGTTTCAAAAAAGGTTTAAAAACATGTATATACTTCATAATAGCATGTTATATACTTGCTACAACCCTAGCGTATATGTGTGTTGAATGTAAACTCATAGCAGAAGTATGTTTTAAATAAGCATTCTGTCATTATTGACAAAAACATATTTCTCACTTATCTCATTATGAAATCCCAAAAATTGTTTCCATGTAAGTGGTTGATTCGTGAACAATAAAGTTATATCTGCATGTTGTTGCCTTCCAGAACTGCCAAAAACAATAAGGGAGCAAATTTCAGGATTCTCTTGGTGCACAGTGTACTTCAGTAACAAAGAAAAAGAAGAAATTTCGCAAGACTTCTAAAATAAAGGTTCATTTGTTTCACTACTGTTTGCTGCTTATTTCTGTTTCATTTTTTTCTTTTTACATAAAAGATAGTTTGGATCAATGCAATAAATTTCGATTGCTTTTTTTTTTTTTTTTTAATAGAAAGTGACATGTGCACTGTATCGTGGTCAAGATTGAAAAGGTAGGGTCATGAGAGAGAAAAAAAACATCTAGATTTTTTGTATATCCTCATTTTTATATTTTATAGTTCTGCATCATATAGTCTGAATCAAAGATAATTTGGAGAAAGGATGTTGAAGTTTTTATCAAAAAAGAAGGTTGTTTGAGGAAATTTGTTTGTGTTGGGTGTTTAAATAAAATTTCATACAGCGAAGTTTATGTAATGTATGAAGCAGTTTTATTGTTTTTAGTGGCATGTAGGTGACCATTGTATGGCACCTTATTATAATGATCAGCTATGGTATCCAGCAGTTGTGAAAAAACTTGATTTGGACGACGGTAAATGTGACGTGCTTTACGATGTTTATGATGAACTGGCACGTGTCAGTATTGCGGATCTTACAAAGTGAGCATTTTTTTTTTTTTTTGAATTATTTTAACCTCTAGGAGTATATGTAAAGAATTCTTATATGATCAGAAGGATAGAATATTTTCCACTTAAATTTTTCACCTGCTTTTAATTTTAATTAACGCTGTTGTTTGACTGACAAGACGTTTCTAGCGACGAGGTTTTGGTAACTTGAAAAGATTTTGCTTATTTTGTACTGCATATGTTTTCATGTTGACAGATGATTAAGAAACCTGAAAATTGCTCTGCATATTATCACAATGGAATATTTTTGGGCAGAAATAATTTCTTTACATTTTGTTATGATGAAAAGTATTAGTTGACAGCAAGACATGAAGATCAGTCTTAATGAAGTATATAATAATCAAGCATATATAAATAAAAAATAAATTGAGTGAAATAAAACTGAATAAAAAAACTGATTTTGAAAAGTAGTGTTTTCGAGGTCGAAGAGAAGAGTGTTTTTGAAAGCGACTAATTTTGTTGATAGAGCTAATAATCATGAAGATTTGGATTGTTTCAAACTGCAATAAGCGCTTTTCGTTCTCTGAAAACAACATTGTCGCTGCTGTGCAAAGCTATATTTCCAGTCTTTTGATGATCACCAAGGTGACTGATTACGTTGTAACTCATATTTAGAATTTATAGTGTTTATATATATTTGAACACTATAAATTCTGTTTTTTTTTGTGACGTATTTTAGATGAATTTCGGGTCGATTGTCTCAGTAATGTTTGTTGAGAAGTGTAAGGGAAGGAAAGATATAAATATGTTGCTCAACATTAAGATGCATTTTGCTTGAAGCTTTGTTAGAGAGAGAGAGAGTGAAGAAGAGGAAGAAAAAAAGACTGATAAGTATGGGGACATCATTTTGCATATTTATTACTTAAAGATGTAGCAAATTTGTGTAAGGTGAATTCTTTTTAGTCATCTCAATTTCTTTTCGTTATTTCATTGTGTTTGTTGTCATCGAAACATCGAGTGAAATTGAAATAAGCACATGTCTGATTCCTAGTGATTGTTGAAGATCAGAAGTATCAGATAACTTATCATAGAAAATGTTAATTTGTAAAACGTTTTAAAGCGTTTTCATAATCGCAGGAGGTTGCGTACGAGGCCATCAGTGCCACATAGGAGACGCCGATATGGTTGGCTTAGTTTTTCACGTTTTACCATGCCGACAAATTTTGGTAATGACCGACAAAAAAAACAGCCGCAACAATGTCGTAAGCGTAAAACTAAGAATTATTACCCGAACTGGGCAAATGATCTGCAAATGGAGCATGGAAAGAAGATACGGAGAAAGAATCAGCAGACATTTACCCTATTTTCGAATACTTCTGCCCTCCAAAGAAACGTTATGTTTGATTTATCGCGAAATGTCTACGTGACGCGTGTATTGGATAGTCTCAGATATCAGAAGTGAGCTTTTATAAGGTCATTCATCTTACACTGATAATATGTAATGGTTATTACCCATTTCACTGAAATTACCTGAGAAGACTGTCTCGATGATATGCGTTTATATTGAACATAAACTAAACATGGACGTATCCATGATACTGATCGATTTTAGTGAGAAACTTTGTTAACACTGGCTACTCTATGTCATCAAACCTAATTTGATAAATAGACAATTGATAGTATGTTTCGTCTCCAGTTAATTATCACTACGGCAAATACTGCATTAGTTATGCAAGATTTTTAGGTGACTCGACTGGTACTACTTTCTGGCTTCTAAATGGTGCTAGTATATTGAGATCAAAAAGCTTTCAAAAGGGATATTATTTGTCAGTTAGATATACATGAAAATTTCCAATTTTCTTGGTTCTAATTTATCTGTCAACATGAAAAATTCTGTATGCTTCATTCTTTTTGATTTTTGCATTTTTATATCGCTTTTTTTTTGAACGTTTCGAATTGAACAGGCCAGTGGAAAATGACGAGGAAGGTACGTCTGAAGGAAATACCACTCAGGAAACATTTGAGACAGAGGAAAAAGTTCTACCGACAAATCATACGCAGACGCCGACGAAGCATTTCAATTATATGCAATCATCATCGACAGATCATACTTCCGTAAATTTTTTTTCCGTATTTTTTCTAATCGCAGAGGAAATCAATAGTACTATGTCAGTTCTTATAACCTGATGGTAACATTAGTATCGCATAATTCAAACCTAATAAATAGGACTGGAGAATTGCCTATGCATCAATAATATATCCTCATTTATATTCAAATATGATTTATAAAATTCATCTTTCAGATTCCATCGTTAGTTCCACCTCCGCCGATAGCTTTTACCAATTTGCCACCACCGGATGATGACGAAGCATTGGCAAGTATGCTGATGTCATGGTACATGACCGGATATCATACCGGTTATTATCAAGTAAAGCATTATTTCTGCAATTTTATCATTACCTTATCATTGCCATTGTCATACCATAGTAACCGTGAGATTCGATACTTTGTTTTTGTGGTAAGAAATTACTACAACTACTACCAATTTATACACGTAGTGTACGACGTAGATGTAAGACTCACTTAGTACGGCATGCTGCTAAGCAGATTGTACTTGAATCTTTCCACTAATGCCCCCTTATTTACATAAAGTAAGTTGTTGTGACTCTACCAAGGCAAATTCTCTGGAAATCAGGTTAAACGTAATGCGAAGTAAACTTTTAAGCAATGATTGTTCAGTGAACGGATTAGCCTCTGATTTAGTATATCCTTATTCGACGATATTGATTTGATTAACAGTGAAATGAATAAAGTAACAACAATATTTACAGGCCATCCAAGATAAAAAGAAGAAAGCAGGAAAGAAAGTTTAGCAGTAATTATCAGTACTATGAAAATTTATTAACTTGTATTGTTTGTTTATGCTGATTCTTTCTTACATTTCAATTTTCACACTGTTTGGTCTCTCAGTTGTGACCCTATTTTTAATAAATAAAATTTGGACGATCCTTCTGTTCCTTTTCATTTCACAAATATTTGTTCATTCATGCTACTTTTTTTTTTCAAGTCGCTGAAGAAACGTTTGGAAGTTTACTAAACATAAGATGGCTAGATAGTGATTTCTCTGAGAATATCAACATCTACAACTAGAAATCAAACTCTGTTCCAAATGTCGCATTCCGTTATGGAGAAGTCTGAAATCAAAATTATATCTACTTATTGGTGGTAATATAAGGGGAATTCTTAAGTTTTCTTCTATTTCCATCAAGAAATTTCTACTCTTAGTCAAAGTGATATTTTTGCATAATCCATTTGGTTATCTATAAACAATGCCGGTGATTAGTTAGATGACTGTTGCAGATGAGAAACTTTATGATAAATGGATTTAATTGTTGAAAATCCATTAAAATTTGTTTGCAAATAACCGTTTGGTTACGTATAATTTACACTTCTCTTTGGAAAGGATAGAAAGAAATAATACAGAAATATGTGAAATGAATGATATGATTCCCAATTTGGCTAGAGCATCAAGAAAGAGATTTTTCTTAGATAAAAGCAAGATTTGTCATGTACTGAATACATTCTGAAAGGTTATCAATTATGAAAAAAAAAAAAAACAAAAGTTCACTCCGACAGGAGACAAAGGGAAAAATTATATAAAGCAGAAGGCGATCATTTGATATACAAGCTTTTCCATTATTGGTAATTAAAAAATTTCATTTCAACGGATCGAATACTTGCAATTTTTTATTTTTCTCGGCACGTGCAGCTGCTTCTTCCGCTGCTTTTTTTGCTGCTGCTGCTTCTTGCTTCTTACGCATAATATCTGCATCTCGTTCCATCCTATTATCTAATTTTACACCCTGAAATTAATCTTCAGTATTATATAAAACAGGAAGTGATTGTTAACATATGTGAATGTTAATTCCAAAACTTTGATATAAATCTAGAACATTACTTTAGTATAACTTTTGATATACCATACAGTTTAAGATATCGAAATATCATTCTCTTAATTCTATTACACTGGGAATAATACGATAGGTTAGCAAATACTGACGGAATTTCTATGACATTCTTTGATTAAAAATTATCAGTGGAATTTCATAAATCATATAATTCAAATAAATACCATGGAAAAAAATGAGCAAAATGTTAAAACATGAAAATTTTCTCTTCTCAAAATAATAGTAATAATAATTCACTAACATCTTGATGAGGCTGTGATTTCTTTTGCTGTTGCTGCTTTTTCAAATTTCTTTCACGGGCTAGTTCACGTTGATTACCACCTGAAAATATAATTGCAATTTCTTTTAGTTCATACATAAATGAATATATGCGATATCTTTTTCATAAAACTATACTTCACAAGCAAAAAAGAAAAAATGAGCTGAATACAATCCAAATATTTGTCCAAAATGTATTCTTCTCCTTTTTTTCCATTCATTCTCAGTATCACATTTTTTTTTTTTTTTTTCATTGCAGTAGAAAATGCTACATAAGAAGTACTGGCAATATAAGTAATAATGTTTCGTAATAATGGAAATATCGCATGAAATACAATAATAGTATATACATAATGATAGCATAGCAAAATATGGGATAAACTTAAATAACTCATTGTAATAAATTCAAAATATTACTTATATCTAAAGAAAGGAAGGAAAAAAAAAAAAAAGAAAACAACATATATGCATATCTAAAAAAAAAGAAAAACAAATTAGTACTAAAATTAAAATATTCAAATAAAAACTTACGTGTCATTTTATATAATTAGTAGACGAGAAATAATTTATGTTATGTACAGAGAAATAGATGAAAGAATGAATGAATGAATTAGCGATCAACGACACCACAATGTGTCTTTTGTCGAAAGCGCCACCACTAACAGCACCAAACGATTCACTGGAACAAACGTCGATCATTACAACCCTTGCAATTCCGTTAAAATGCTGTTCCTTCACCTACACACACATACATGCATACACTTACATACACATACACACATACACACATACACATACACGCACACAAGAACATACGCGGATACTAGAAGTCAGCGGGAAGTTAATTGACCAAACAAATGACTCGCAGTGAAATTTTAATCAGTCAAATGAATTTTGTTGTTGAGGAAATTATGAGAATAAATGAAATTATTTGATTAGTATGATCTAGGCTTAGATATGACAGTTATTAGAATGAAAGATAAAATATACACAACAAATTAATGAACAATATGAATCGAAATTTAAACAACCGACCAATTGTTGTTAATAAAATAAGTGGGAATGAAATTCGCTTAAAAAGAAAAATGGATGCTTAATTTAAATTCGAAACAAAATTTAAATGAGAAAAACAGTTATTGTTGGATTTATAACTATTATAACTAGCAATAAAGAATTATTAAATTTAAACTTCCCTTTGAATTATTCTTAGAATTATTAAATTTAAACTTCCCTTTGAATTATTCTTATTTTAAAAAATTTTATTCAAATATGATCGGAACGACTTAATTTAGGAAATAGTAATTTATGAAAGGATCTGTCTATTCATTCCTGCTGCAAAAAAAAAAATTGGAATGACCAATGTGTAATGGTCAGATCCTGTTGCAGAAAAAATGCAAAATATCTCTTTGGATGATACAAAGATTCAGTAACGCTGTGGATAGTACATTTCCCAATTTTGAAGGTAAGCGTCGATGATATCCAAGGCTGAAGGATTGTCCTCGTATCTCGGGGACATTTCTTTTGGAGTAGCCAATGTAACCATCCTTTTTGTTATAAGCCAAGCCAATGTTTACTATATGGGAATTACATCCATTGTTTGAGTCAGTTCTTAAGTATCAGTAAACTTCAATTCGGTTGCTTTTAAACATTAATTCAATTTTATGGCAGTGGTTAGCAATGTATTTAAAAGTATTCGTGCAATGATTTTACTGGTAGCAAAGAGCAAATTGACAGTTCAGTAGTTCGACCAGTTGGACTTTTCTCCTCTTTTGCTTATAAAAGGCGATAGTAAATAACTGTGGTAATCCGATAATTATAACTCATAACGAGTTAGTGAATTTTAGAGTAAATGCTTGGCTTCTATTTTGAAAACATTCGTATGGGAATGCTTTCAAGCCTAGGTTCTTAGCAGATTTCATCTGCTGTACAGCCTTCAGAGTCTCTTCCGAAGTGAAAGTTACATTCAATTTAATTTTCACTAGTTTTTAAGTGATGTGTTGAACTGCTGTGTCATTAATTGTAAAACTGTTATTGAAGAAAGATTGGAAATGTTCGGATTATCGGTTTAAATTGAAAGATGAGAAGCACTTGGCCACTGTTTTTGGAGCTTCAAAGTGTCTTCTGTGATTACTGAAATTCATGAATGACTGATTCTTTTCTGCTTGATTGGTCCTATTTGTTCTCTAAATGTATCGAAGTTTCTGTTCAAACTTACTGCATGCAAAATGAAAGATTGCTTTTGTTGTAGTTTGCTTGGTGAGTAATTCTCTTCTGTGACAACAGTTTCTGAGTTTTTAAGTTGTTTTCATCAAATCTTCGGTTTTCTTTGATGGACCATTTTAGGCTTTCAATGGAAGATTGAAGAATGGCATTTTTAATGTTAGCAAAGTACTTTAAGAGAGGGATCTATGCGGTCTGTAAATTTGGCTTGAAGGTTATCCTGTAAATGGTCTTTTAGCTTTTTGACTTTGATTCTTTTTCTTGGAGTACCTTCTCTGCTCAGTTTGGCTTTAAAGTGGAGATTGAGTTTGCATCATACAAAGTGTTTGACCTTCTGCACTCAGATATGATGATGAATCATAATTATGATTTTTTAACGCATTAAAATGTAGTGAACTTATGTTGAGAACAAGGATACATTCAGGTTGATTTTCTGCTGAAAAATGATAGTCATGATAATTTGCTACTATTGATAGGAGGCAGCCACTTCAATAATTAAGTTTTTTTTTAAAGCTTATTTTATTATTATTGCTGTGAAATGATCAAATCGAACATGACCAGCACCCAAAAAATGCATATAAAATAATCAATAAAGTTGAAAATATCTATTTTTTTTTTTTAAATGAAGTTATACTTTTAAATAGTATTAGCATTGAATGAAAACAAAATTTAACACTGTTAGAACTTATGATTTAAAAAATTTTATTTTAAAAATTAAAAGATACAACAAACACACACAAAAAAAAAAATTCTAACTAATTGCTCATTTAATTAAGTGTCAACAAAATAATTCAAATTTATTAGAATTTATTGTAGGCATTTGATTATATAAAAGAAAATGGTGGAATCGATTCGGAATCATCATATCCATATGAAGCAAAAGAAGGTCCATGTCGTTACTCAAATCGAACTCGACTGTCAACTGATAGCGGTAAAGTTGACTTGCCGGAAGGTGACGAAATGCAGCTTCAAGAAGCAGTAGCAAATATTGGAACAATATCAGTTGCAATTAATGCGAGATATTTAAGCTTATATGACGAAGGTTAATCACAATCAAATTTACAACAAATTTTACTACCATTTTTCGAGACATATTCCTTTCATATCAAAGTTTCATGTTACTCATACCATCTTTTCATTAGATAGCAAAGAATTTAGGTATTTTCACACGTGCTAATTGCTCATCCGAAGAATTAGATCATGGTGTTCTAGTGGTAGGTTACGGAACTGAAGAAGTACGAGGAAAAAATCTCGATTATTGGATTGTTAAAAATAGGTATGAAATTAGTCCTTCATAAACGTAGTATTCTCAAATTCAATGCTTCTTAAAAATGAAGTTCGGATGATTACAATCCTCAATTGCTTCTATTTTGAAAAAGTTGGAATAATTAAAGTTTGCAAGGGAAAATCTTAACTATAAATAAGTAGAAACTTTATGTAAGTAAAAAAGTAATCATTATTAAAGACTATATAAATCATTAATTACTAATTGCTAATTACGGTTCATATTTTAGCTGGGGTAAAGATTGGGGTGAGAACGGTTATTTCCGGTTAACAAGAAATAAAAAGAATATGTGCGGCATAGCAAGTGCAGCGAGTTATCCGATTGTACCGAAAGAATTAATAATGTCATTAATGGATTAATTAGAACGAAATATTCTGAAATATTTCCGTTCATAAAAAAAAGGAAAATAATAACAATTTCCTAAAATATTCCATTAAAATTTACCATTTTCATACTTTTTTGCATTATGTTAGTTAAATTTAGCAAAGTTAATTAATCCAATTGAATGTGCTGTTTATTAATTAGAATAATTTATGCAAGAAAATAAATCATAAAGCAAAAATGTTAATTTTTGTTCTATGCACTGGAATATTTCAATAAATCTTTTCATTTATACGAATATTTTCAATTTTTCATTTTCTATCTTTTAAGCATTACAATGTATAATATGGAAGAGAAGCGATGCTAATTTGAATGCATGCATAACAAACATACAAAGTTTGAAAAAAAAAGTTCATTATTTGTGTTAAAAGCCAACAAAAAAGCATGACACAGTTCAAAATGAGATACTCGAATTACTGATTTTGTTTTCGACTTGAAATATCCTTTTCATTTAACATATAAACAAGATTCTTAATTTTTCTTGCCTTATAAAGTTGTTTCCTCAACTTAATGGACAATAGCGCTTTTCACTTGTGTATGTAATGGCAATTAGCTAATACTACTTTAGCTAATATATGTTGTCAGATTTGCTTATGTTTAGAAAAAGATGGGAGGACTATTAAAAACTATTTCATCGATAATTTTTATACATCAATCATTTACAGAAGCCTTTTCAATTCGTTGCAGACATTAATTAAATTAAACGAGTATTAGAATTTTTTACATTAACAAAAATATCTCATTATTTATTATTTCATGTACAAAAATAACTCTGAATTGATAATCCAACGTCTAAATCAAAGAAAAAGAAATTAATTTATCAGCAAGAATCAACAAAAAAAAATTTGTTTATCTTCTTTTTAATTTTGCACAACCTTCAGTGGAAATCCAGAATTGTGGAGAGGATTCTGGAGTAGTTTCGAAACTACAGTCATTTACAGAATATATCAGATATGCAAAAATTACATTATTTAATTGATACACAAAAATTGGATTAATATTTAATATTGGATATATGTCTCATCATAATATTTTACGATCACTTCATAATCACTTCGACTACTTAGTTGATTATAATTATCATGGGCAAAATCAAAGACTATTTAAAGAAGTTTCATGTAAGCTTAATTTTAATTAGTTAATTTTAATTACTTTGAGCATTATCTAGCAAATGGATAGTTCCTGTTATGAGATATGAAGATGTCAAGAATTCTGTCCGTTAGAGTTTTAATTCAGAAGTCATTTAATATCATCAAAATCACTACCAATCCTATAATTTCATTATTGCATTGGGTTTTCTGATTGCTTTCATAATGATATTAACTGAATGAGTGAAAATTAAAATACGGAAAGAAAAATTGCTGAAAAGATCACACTTATTAATACAAAAATGACACATACTTAAGTGCTAAATTATAAGTAATGTTTATTTGGTCGATTAGCTATTTGTTAAATTTAAAAAAAAATTAACAGATATTTATATTAACTAAAAGACAAGGTTGAGAAAAGAAATCATTTCTTTTTTTCATATAGAAAGAAAGTGACAAAATGTATGATATAAAAAGAAATCAAGATATAATTAGAGAGCACAAGAGAGCAAATATTTTCTGTAAGAACAAAGAACAAAGAATAACAGAGTGAGCCAACTCTTATATAAAGTAAGTAAGTAAGTTATTTGCATATCTTCGTGAGAGCGGAACGCTTCATTTACAATATGATTTTCTTATGAATATTGATTCATATTATTCTTTTCGTTTAAATTGATTTGCTGAATTAAGCTTGTTGTTTGGAGTATAAATGAGATTGGAAAAAGAAAATGTGAAGTACTTGATGACTGGCGCATGTAGTAGACAAAGCAATATTATAACCAATTTTAAATAGCTTATAAAATTAGTCGTTATTTTATCATCCATAAATAATAGTTTTATCATGTGTTTTTTGTGTTTTGTAAATGTTTGATAAATTTGCTAATTTTGTAGGATGAGTGCGCTTGGCGGACAAATTCCAGGACATCCGGGCATTTCCGATGTTCTGGATTATTTGAAAATAGATCCTGCAATGCTGCGCATATTACAGAAATATATAACTGAAAAGGAGCAGGTAATTGTTTCCTTTTTTTTAATTTCGATAAGAATAAAAGCTCGCTCTTAACCCGTTTGGAAGAGGTGAAGAGGGGGGTTGGAAGAGCTGAAAGGGCAAAATGCTCAAAATGAAATGGAAGAGGGACCGGTACCTCAGAAACCGGAATTTAACGTGAAAGAGGCAGAGTGGGCTCCTCTGCCAGAAAGCGATGATGAAGCCGAGCAGTGGCCGTCAGGAACGGACTGGGCCCCTTTGCCAGACGATGAAGCAGGTATAAGTGTTAGTAGTAGAGGATTAACTGCTTTTGATGCTGCACTAAATGCTGTTGTATAAAATGTACCCAAGTTTGCTGTTAATATAAATTATTATTTTCATCTTTTTCAACAGTAATTTTCAACAATAATTGTTAAGGAAATTTTTTTAAAAAAACAATAACAAAATTTATTACATGAAAAACAAATCGTTCGAAGCTTTTTATAACAATAGTGATAGGGATAATGTGATAATAAATAGGAAAAAATTTTTGAATAGTGATTATTTGATTTTAATGAATAATGAATAGAAAATTATGAATAATAATGATTATATGAATTTAAATTAAATGTTCTTTTATTAAATTTTCATTCACCAACTATTCTACATAAATGGAAAATAATTTGGCTTATTTTCTTTATCTCTATAAAAAAAAAAAAAGAAAAAAGAAACTGTTGGTGAACGGAATATCACAAAGTTACTAAAAAACTTTCCGTTTTTTTTTTTAAAAAACTTTGCCATTCTTATTAGTGGTTAATTTGGATTCGCTAATCAGTTGTTGATTAATTTAATATGCAATAACACGATGATATCTCGAAGAAAACCATAGCAGATGTTGTAATTCATGGAGTTATTTGTTATTTAAAATATGATAATGTGATTTAATAAATGATTCAACGAAGAATCCGAAAAAAGTATAGATTAAAGTTAATTAAAATTATTGCAGGTTTTATTTACTCTAACGAAGGACTTATCTTTTCTACGGTATTAAACTTATTATAGGTTTTATTTATTCTAGCAGAAAATTTATTTCTCTTTTTTATGGCTTTTTATTAAAACTAATAATCTTGAATTGAAATAATATTAAACTATGTTGTAAAAGAACTTAAAGATTTGGATGTTACGAATTTCTAATATTGCCTATAAAATATTTTAAAAAAAGAGGGAGGTCTTTCACAAAGTAATGTTTACACCTCAAATCTTTTGTACATCATTTCAATCTGACGTTCCCTCGTTGTTTGTTCCTTTTTTACTTATATATCACTGTGATGACCTTTTGCCTAATAAAGGATTCATCTTAACCATTCCCACTTTATATATGGAAATACACGACAGAGTTCAATTTATAAGAGTATTTCCACTACTCCAATTTATAAAATTTATTGTAGTATTTTTTCTTTTTTTTTTTATAAGATTTATTACACAATTTATAAGAAAAATTATGTTGCTTCCATTAACAAAGACTTATATTCCTGTGTTACCCTACCCTATACATAGGTTATGAATAAAAGAGCGATGAATGTAACCTTTCTAGTGAAGAAAAGGTCATCTCGTGCAGATTCATATCAATTTTTTAGCAGCACACCTAATTTTTTGCTTTTATTTCTGATTAAAAAAGTTCTTTTTAATGCAAATCATTTGCGAAGAATTTAACAATATTTCATATCACAGCGTAACGTAAAACATTCCATTTCACATCACAGCATAACGTGAAACATTCCATTTCACATCACAGCATAACGTGAAACATTCCATTTCACATCATAGCGTAACGTAAAACATTCCATTTCATATCATAGCGTAACGTAAAACATTCCATTTCATATCACAGCGTAACGTAAAACATTCCATTTCACATCACAGCATAACGTGAAACATTCCATTTCACATCATAGCGTAACGTAAAACATTCCATTTCATATCATAGCGTAACGTAAAACATTCCATTTCATATCATAGCGTAACGTAAAACATTCCATTTCACATCACAGCGTAACGTAAAACATTCCATTTCACATCACAGCATAACGTGAAACATTCCATTTCACATCATAGCGTAACGTAAAACATTCCATTTCACATCACAGCATAACGTGAAACATTCCATTTCACATCATAGCGTAACGTAAAACATTCCATTTCATATCACAGCGTAACGTAAAACATTCCATTTCATATCACAGCGTAACGTAAAACATTCCATTTCACATCACAGCATAACGTGAAACATTCCATTTCACATCACAGCATAACGTGAAACATTCCATTTCACATCATAGCGTAACGTAAAACATTCCATTTCATATCATAGCGTAACGTAAAACATTCCATTTCACATCACAGCATAACGTGAAACATTCCATTTCACATCACAGCATAACGTGAAACATTCCATTTCACATCACAGCATAACGTGAAACATTCCATTTCACATCATAGCGTAACGTAAAACATTCCATTTCACATCACAGCATAACGTGAAACATTCCATTTCACATCATAGCGTAACGTAAAACATTCCATTTCATATCATAGCGTAACGTAAAACATTCCATTTCATATCACAGCGTAACGTAAAACATTCCATTTCACATCACAGCATAACGTGAAACATTCCATTTCACATCACAGCATAACGTGAAACATTCCATTTCACATCATAGCGTAACGTAAAACATTCCATTTCATATCATAGCGTAACGTAAAACATTCCATTTCACATCACAGCGTAACGTAAAACATTCCATTTCACATCACAGCATAACGTGAAACATTCCATTTCACATCATAGCGTAACGTAAAACATTCCATTTCATATCATAGCGTAACGTAAAACATTCCATTTCACATCACAGCATAACGTGAAACATTCCATTTCACATCATAGCGTAACGTAAAACATTCCATTTCATATCATAGCGTAACGTAAAACATTCCATTTCACATCACAGCGTAACGTAAAACATTCCATTTCACATCACAGCATAACGTGAAACATTCCATTTCACATCATAGCGTAACGTAAAACATTCCATTTCATATCACAGCGTAACGTAAAACATTCCATTTCATATCACAGCGTAACGTAAAACATTCCATTTCACATCACAGCATAACGTGAAACATTCCATTTCACATCATAGCGTAACGTAAAACATTCCATTTCATATCATAGCGTAACGTAAAACATCCCATTTCATATCACAGCGTAACGTAAAACATTCCATTTCATATCACAGCGTAACGTAAAACATTCCATTTCATATCACAGCGTAACGTAAAACATTCCATTTCATATCACAGCGTAACGTAAAACATTCCATTTCATATCACAGCGTAACGTAAAACATTTCATTTCACATCACAGCGTAACGTGAAACATTCCATTTCACATCACAGCATAACGTGAAACATTCCATTTCATATCACAGCGTAACGTAAAACATTCCATTTCATATCACAGCGTAACGTAAAACATTTCATTTCACATCACAGCGTAACGTAAAACTTTCCATTCCTTAAAGAAACGCATTTGTTCGGTAAAACAAAGCAAAAAAAAAGTAAGCAATCACAACAAATCTCTCTCTGATTTGACATCTCTCACAAATCTCTACGAAAGTTAATCAAATCTAAGGTAAGCCATGGCATGCAGAGATTGTAACGCAGAAAATATCATTGGTTAGAGAGTGAGTGTATTTTGCATTGCTATCATTGATAGACAATTTGCCAAACATTTAGTTTTTGTTTAGTACGATGCGTTTATGTTACCTTATCTGGATGCTTTAATGTAAGATCGTGATAGATTTGACACGTGAAATGCGAGCAATACGTCATTTATACAATTAGTAACTTTTCCTTTATCTCTTGTACTCAGTTTTATAGCAACTTGTTTTAATGAATCTATGAGAAGTACTTAAATATTTGTGAAAATTCCACCGAAATTTGTATAAGTAATATGGTCTGTTTAGATATATGTCATTCTCAGTTTAAAATTGAACAAATATTATTGAAGGCGGTGGTAAATATTATAAATAGATGAGATGTAATTTTAAAAGATTATAATGTGTTTAATTTGTATTTAAGGTTAAAAAATTTTTCAGTGAGAAATTGTTACTTTATTAACACTGAACAGTTTGGAATTAGAATATTGCTCCTTTTATGAATATTTTATTAGTTATTGTTGAAGGTTTTTCAAAATTCTTAATAATGAGAAATGAACAGTCATAGAAATACGATAAATTAGCGGACGGGAAATAATAAATTATTATTTGTAATTTCAACGCAAACATAGTCAAATTTTATGGAGAATGTTTTTTCTATTTTATATGCTTCTTTTTAAATAAAATAAAATATTAAAAATTAGAAATTTTCTCCTTTCTTATTTCAACTTCAGTTAGAAATTTTTTTTTTTTTTCAAATTAAATTCAGTTTAGCACTTTTATGATACAGTCAGATACAACGAGTGACGTTTATTATATAAGTGTAACACATTCTTATATAGATAGTAGTTAAATGAAATTCTTAAGTAAATACTTGAGTTGAGGGGTGTTGCTTTAATATCAGAACTTATTTTAAATATATTTTAAATATATCAGAAATTGTTTAGCGCGAAAAAACGAAAACTGTAACAAATACCTTGCAAAATTATTGAAATTACGATAAATATGTAAATTAATTGTAATAAACGTATCATTTGCTCTACAGAAATTTTCTGTTTGAAGGACGAACCATTTCTGTATTATTCATGTGTAATCAGTCATACGATATTCTTTCAACGGTTGCGTTAAGTTATATTTAACATCGTTCAAACAGCGAATCAAAGCAAAGTTTTGCAAATTCAATTAACTCATGGAAGAATGCATCGATTGTCAAAAATTTCTGCCTCTTTCGCTTCGAAGTATTGCACTGATCTAATTTTAGTTTGCGTCATTTTTCAAACCACTCAATTTTGTGGAATTGTGTTTATCCATTTTTTTCTTCACTGTCATATTATATGATAGAGTAATTGGATTACATTCCGTATAAGTCATTTGATTTAAGGGGTAAATAATTTTCAACTCACCCTTTGCCTCATTACACATTCGTCGTATTTTTGACAGAAGAAATAATTTCTAGAAAAAATGATTGTATTGATGGTAGCGCTGACAAAATAGGCAAACGTTTTTCTCGTCCAAATATATTACAGTTTTCATATGAAGAAAATACAGATGGTATCAACGAGAACGGTAAATGTGGTAAGCCCCTTATTTCTGTCAGTTATAGTCGATGATTTTTTTCATTTGGAAAATTTAGTGAAGATACTTATATGCTATACCTACAATATGTTCTAGTCGGGGCTACGGACTTATTCACTGATGCTTTGGTAAATTGTATTTTATACCATATTCGCACCATTCATTAATGTCATATGACTTAGGATCACATGGTTGATTGTTTTTCATCCCGTATTATCCTCATAGTCAGTTCAGTAGCTTTGTTTATCTTTATCTTTTTAACAGTTTAACACTTCTTTGATTCTTTTTCGCCAATATCTTCGTATTGTTTGCAGCAGAATGGATGTTATCGCGGAGCAAATGTCGTAGATTTGATGTTTAATTGCTATTTCATTACTAGATTAGCAAAACTTAAACTCTTTAAGATATACGATTGCTTCATGGGTTATGGAATACTTGTCATTGTTCCATTTATTTGGGCCAGAATTGCCTAAACCAGTAATTATTACATTGTTTAATTTAAGATGAATGGTACGAAATGGTGACTGCTGTTACGCCACCTATGGATGGAATAGGTGAAATTGATCAGAAAATGAACAATGAAACCAATGATACGCTTAGAAAAACTGGTATTGTTATCAATGGTCTGGATCAAATGGATCTAGAGCCAGACGGTGCGGCTGAAATTGAAGCTCTAGAACAGTCACTTACTGCATTGGTGGATGACTTCCGATCAGGAAGAATGTGTGCCTGTAAGTTTAATTTATTTATACTTACCGCTGTTTGAAAAATAAGTCAGGCACGGATGTTATTATTTGAGAGATTCTAGTTGAACTAAAACTCAAGTGTGACGATTTAAGGATATAAATTTAATCATTACACTATAGTTTGTTATAAGGAAGTAGTTTTTTTGTACAGAAATGCAGAATGTTGAAGCTTCAGTCTTATACTTATTAATTGACCAAAAGATAGCGATGGAGATAGTCTGTCATGCTCACCAATTTCTTCGTCAAATCTGGAATTGTGTAGGCTGTTAATAAGTTGAAAGTAGCTTGGAAGTCAAATGGTTTTTTGCAATTATGGAAGTTCTTGGGCTGCTTTTTAGTACCTTTTTTCTAGTGAGCGAGGAGAAGTTGAAAATGATGCGGAAAGCAAGATCGGAAATGGAAGATTTGACTGCATTCCATGTCAAATTGCACAAAATGCAGGCTCCGGATTTCTCTACTTTCAGGTTGCTCTTTTTGAATTCACTTTTCGTCACGGTAAAAATCGTTCAAAATTTCTCTTTTAGTGCTGATGGTCAACTTGATGAAGAGTATGATTTGCTTTTCCGGAAACTTGACAAGCTGCATCGTTTTCTGTAAGTTTTGCTAATTTATGGAACTTGTATTATAAAATGCTTAAGTCAGAGCATTCGCTACTGAGTCATTGTGACTATTCTGTGTGAATCCAAAGAAAATAATTTTTTCAAGATATAAATCCTGATTTTGAGGTCTGCGAGTCAGTTTCCAAAATTGAAAATGACAAGTTGATATTTTCCATGAAATGAATTATATATTTGAAACCCAATGTCTAGTTTATTTTAATGGCAGAGCATTATAGATATGATATGTCTTTCCGTGCAAATGATGTAAACAAAGAAAGCAGGATGACAAGTACTTTTGCGGAAGAACAAGACGCGGAAATGGCAAGTGAGTAGTCATAGTCAGTTTTTCAAGATTTCAACAAACTTGCTTTCAAGAAATTGCTTCATTGCTACTTTTTGTGTACACTTATTGTTTAAGAGATTCCACTGTCGTTCGGCAAAAATTTTGTTGAAGCGTATTGTTGTTGTGAATCGGGAGAACGAAATTAAGACAAAAGTGAATAATTGACTATGTAATGTAATTGTTTATAATATTTTTTACAGTTGCAAATGTGACTCATCAGATCGTGAAGTTTCTACAAAAAAAAAGTATTAGTGTCAGATTGGAAGTTGAATTAGTGGTTTATTACTTTAAGTATATATGTATATATGTATTATAAATTTGTTTTAGTCATGTAGAAGTATTTTTATAATACGAAAACAACATTATTTTATATTGTGAAAGATTTTGATTATTTTGACATTTTCGATGGAGGAAAATTAAGACATTTTCGATGGATATGGTGGTATAGTGAAAAACATTTATTTGTCTCTATTTGAAACATGTGAAAAGTGTCTCTAGTGGCAAAAGATGTGAAAAGTGCTACCCATCTTTTGATCTTTCCATTATTATCTTTGACAGTAATTGAACCCATATAATAAAGGCAACTTTGAGGTGATTTGTACGGCTTAGTTCTCTCTTCGATAAGCAAAGCATCCGTTGGTAACCCGTTTAACTGTTGATTTTCCCCTTGGTATCCGAAAATTTTGCTTTAATTCATGAGAGTATGAGCAATTCCAGCATGATATACTTCGTCATGTTTTCTTTTTGATAATAGATTCAGTAATGTGATTACGACTTAGTAAATAGATTGAAAATTGGAGATTACTTTCATTTGTTAATTCGGCATTCTGTAAACGGTTTGTTGGTTTCCATAATTTATCGGTTTCATCACAATATAAATTCCATATTCTAATTTTTTCTTCAATCCATCAGACTGGCTTGTCGAATTAATATTTTTTCAGCTATCTCATAGTCCTCTTCGTGTAATTTTTATAAGTGGATATTAATTTCAACCACGGTAATTCGCTTTTGAAGCTTAATTTGATCAACCGAAGTGCCCACACTCTTAACATGCAATCGTGCAAGGTATCCAATTACTAAAACGCTTCGCAACTATACATTGAAATTTTACTGATTTAAAAGTTTTCTTTACTTTTTGAATAATTGTCATAATTGCTCTTTTAAATTCGTCGTCTTGATATTTGAATTCCCATTTTGGCTATTTACTTTTTTCCTCTTCTAGCCACTGCGGTCCTTTCCACCACGATTGATAGTTTTTGAGTTTACTTGATGGAAACGCATTGAACCCATTCCAAAATCTGTCCACTGCTAGGGTTCTCCGTCGAAAGTGGATAGAGATATCTGAGGGAGGTTGATGTTGCAATAGGATGTTGGCGTTGTTGGCTCCGTTATTGGCGGTTTAGAAGTTATTTGTTTGATTTCATTATTAATTTCTCTTTTGTACATATTTTCCTCATCTTTCTTTTTCGTTTTGGATTTTTGGGCACATTCTATCTACTGCTTATTTAAAACTTCGATAGAGTCAATGCACATTTGCAGTCGAAGAATTTTTTCATCTATGAGTCGATCTTTGGTTTCGCTAATTTCGAGTCGTTCGTGGTTAGTAGGTAAGGTTGGATCTGGAGATTGGATATCCATAGTTTTTACCTCACTCAATAATCTTTCTAGACGGTCCTTTAGAGGTTTGATACTTTCAATAATAGTAAAAGCCATTGTAATTCTACTCTTCGTCCGATTCGTGGCACCAAAAATTTTGTCGTGATTTTGAAGAATTTTTTGGTCAGAAAAGTAGATGATTTAGATTAGTTAAGTTCACTTGACTTACTTTAAATTTGTAGAACTTGAACTAAACCTTTTGTTTCTTGTCTACGAGCAAGATCAACCCAGATATCGTTTATTTTCTTTATAAATGTGAATCGATACAATATACAGTTCAATAATTGAAACAGCGAAGGAATAAATGGTACTGTTGAGTAGGAGGACGAGAAGACTGTCACCGATCGTTTCTTTGTTATCGGTTGATTTGAATAGAGAAGAATTTTAAAAATGTATGAAGTGGACTTGGCTTAGCAGATTAACATTTGCCGTGAAGAACAATGAAGACAGATACATTTACTATTTGGGGTTTAGATAAAGGATTCACCGTTTCAAAAAAATGGAATATAACAAAGGAATAACGAATTGGTTTATAGAATCATTAGAATTATTCTTAGTGTGCAATACTTTTTCGGTTTTTCGACAATAGTTGTCAGTACATTGCTAGTCTAGCTGATTAACTTTAAAATCACTTATAAATCAGATATAGTTTTGAAATGATTGCCAGTGAAAGATTGCAGTCAAGTTTTATCAATATCTGTTATCTCCGATACCTCGGAAACCAGAAAGCTATCTCTTGTAGTTTTATAAACATACCTGCAAACAAGGTCCAAGTAGTGTCACCACCAAATATAAGCATTTTTTATAGATGTCTTTATCTTCATATGTACAGAAATGCGTCCTTTTTCGTTCATTCGCTAATTTAACCACATAAATTTCCATTTTTAGCTATAATAATTTATATTAACAAGCAAGAGAAAGAAAGAGAGAGAAGTCAAAGTATATTATCCTATCAAAAATAATGTACATTGTGAATAATTCCATTATTTGCAAACATAATCTGAATATGATGGTGTGCTGAAAGCTTAGAAATGTAGAAAACTACAATTCCGTTCACACAAATATATATTAGCAGAAATTTATCTTATCTTTCTTTAAAGCTAACAAGCTTACTTTAACTTTCTCCTTTAAGCTTTCTGTTTTTAATGCTTTCATAAATTTCGTTTCCCCTTGATTCCTTCAAAGTAAAATTGCTGTAATTTGAGGAATTGTGAAGTAAATAATCACAAGAAAAAATGTCAATGAATTTTCATAAACCTTATAAACTGATCCAAAACCGCCTTCGCCAAGTTTTACAACAACAATCCATGTCCACTACCCGATCCTTTTCATAAAGATATAGTAAATAATAACGAACTTTGCTAGAATGACTTTCTCCTTATTACTTTATTGTGGAGAGAAATATTATCAATAATATTAATTATTTATATGAATTATTAATTACAGGGTATGTTCTTGGTACAATTCAACTGATACCATTTTGTTCTAACTCAATACTACTGTTACAACCTGTACTGAAGAGATTGCAATTTGCGTAGCATGCAACGTGGTTTTCCGCAATAAAAGTGACATCGATGTTGGTTGGTCTGTGTAGGGAAGATATGTACATGTGACCTACATGTGACATTTTGGTAGCTGGAAATTAAGTCGGTCTGAGCTGTTAGAAAGGAGGAATGAGCTGTTGATAAATGATTTGTAATGATTAAGGCAGTTCATTGAAATGTGCACTTCTTCTCGAATTATTGCGTAACACTGTAAACATTTGTTTTTATTGCTTTTGAATGATTAGTTATTTAAATATGCTATTTTTTAAGATAATTAATTGAAGAAGGTTGTTGTAATGACTGTTTACATTTGTCCAGAAACTGGAGATGATGGTAATGATGGTAGCGAGCTGAAACCTTTAAGGTAATTTTGGTACTTTTGTCTTCGTAGATAAAAAGTTTCGAAGAAGCAAGATTAAGAAGGCTATGTTAAATTGGTATAAACTTCTGGAGTTTTTTGCGTTAAATTAAATTTCGATAATTGACTGCAGGACGCTTTATCAGGCGATGATAATTACTAAGTCTTCCAAAGGTGACTTCTTAATAAGGACAAAGAAAGATGGAAAACAAGTATGGGAAGCTGCTTCAAAGACGGCATTGAAGAAAAGTTGGAAACGTTACGAGCAAGAAATGTTGAAGAATGAAAAAGTTGCTGCAAAGGTGAGATTTGTTTTTTTTTTTTTTTTTTTTTTTTTGAAAATATGAATTGAGTAGTTTGCTTGTTAGAAAAGATGGTGAGGCGAGGTGTTACTTTAATTTATTAGCGAAAAATGAATTAAAAAATAGCTTCGTATAACAAATATTTAATGAGTAGCGTTGAATAAGTTGTTCGTATTTTTTAGATGTTAGAGAAGGATGCGACAGAAGTGGGAGTAAAAGCAGCCCTTGAAGAAGCCAAAAAAGTGCAAATAGAACTGGACACGAGTCTGTCATATATCACTGGTGTGAAGATTCGTGATCTCGTTAAGCACCGTAATGAACGTGTTTGCATCAAAGGATGGATTCATAGAATGCGTCGACAAGGTATTTTGCAATTATTATTCGTTGATTATCACAACTGGTTGTTCAGTGAAATAGATTATTGTTTGAGATATTTCTTTTTTTTTTTTTTTTTGTAAAGATTACATATACATTCATAATATATTCGTTTTTGTGTATTTAGGAAAGTCACTGATGTTTTTCATCCTTCGAGATGGGACTGGTTTCCTTCAAGTACTACTCATGGATAAATTGGTTAGTTATTTTTTATGCGATCTAGGATTGATAGAAAATTTTTGATAACAACCAGAAAATAATAATGAGCTATTGATTATATAGATGATACCATTCCCTGTAGAACAAAGAGTTTATTAATTAAACTTTTTTTAGTGCCAGACGTATGACGCTCTCACTGTGAATACTGAATGCACGGTTGAGATATACGGCGCAATAAAGGAAGTTCCGGAAGGTAAAGAGGCACCGAACGGGCACGAGTTAATAGCTGATTTTTGGAAAATAATAGGAAATGCACCTTCTGGAGGTAATGTTCAATTATTTCGTTCATTTTTTTATTTATTTTATCCTATGGTATTGTATTTTTATTTTTTGTAATTGTAATCCATGTGCCGTAAATTAATTTTTAAAATAGAATAATTGAGACTGCATATGAAGTACTTTAAACAATATATATGCTTACGTTGGTGATATTTTGAAATATTTTTTTTAGATAATCATAGAACTTTTCAGAAAAGAAGTAGAAATTCTTGGTGAATATCTGAAAGGACTTAGAGAATGTGTTTATGGGGAAAAGTTGACAGTTATCATGAGAGCCATCCATATTGCGTACTGTTAGATTTAATCGAGCATAAAGAATATGAAACTTGCTACGTCTGGTCATGATATATTTCATCATATACTGATGTATAGTTAGCTTATTTCACCGTACTATTAAGTTACATTGTTATACA